GAAAAAGCTAACTTGAAGGGCTACAACTTTGATGAAGACCACAAATGCTAATTCAAAGTTTTTGTGAGTGAAACGTAGCCTAGAAGTTGAATCAGGTGCATAGAATTTCGTCTGTGGCCACTGGGCAGTGTGCCCTGTATTTCTGGCCACAGAAGTGGCCAACCTCTGCAACATTTGATAGTCCCATTTTTGCCCATTTAAAAGGGGATTTTTCCACCCAAAAACACATCTTACATTTCCCTTTCATTTCTCTAGTTAGGGTTAGTTTAGAATAGCTTAGATTAATGTAGATTTGTTGTTCCCTTCCATTTCCAAGCTCAAGAACATTGCAACTACTAGATTTCAAGCCATTAATAGAGAAGTTTTCTTATTCCTCTTTTTTCCTTTGATTCCCATTTATGCTTTCAATTACTCCTTTAATATTGTATATATATTGTTATATTATGAGTAGCTAAGTATTTTGGGACTAGGATTTGGTTTGATTTCTTGCTATTGATGCCTATATGACTTATATTTCATAAGGGGGTTTATTTGGGTGCTCTTCGGTTGTTATGTGAAATGGGTATGTTGAGAAATTTGTGTATGATGGTTGGATCCCAATTATATGCTTAATTTGGAGTGTGTTTATTGCTACGAGTGTAGAGCTTGTACACTAGCACATTCACACACTTGATGCCCAATACGAGAGTATTTCGAGTATTAAGGAGAATTTATGCTTTTGTCTTTTTGAATGGGCAACCTTGGGTTGAATTTCCACGAGAGTGGAGTTCGAGGTGAGGTTGTGAGTCCAAATAGCTACGAGAGTGGTATTTGGACACTTTTGTGCATCTCACTTACCATATGCCTTGATTTAATTCCATAATCTTTAGTACAGTATTTGGTATCTTAGCTTGAATCAACCAAATCCTGGTCCTTTGTTTTACTTGTTTATTTGTTATTTGCTTAATCATATCAACGCAACTCTTTATCAATAGGTTTAGCTTCTAAGAGGGTAGTTTTACCCTGTAAAGTAAGTACAGTATATACTTTGGAAAACAAAAGTTCCACATTCTTTGCTCAAACAAGTCTATACACTTAAACATACTTGGCATTAACTTCTAGATGCTTGCAACCTATTACTCATATAAGCATACCTGTTCCTTAAACAACTCATCACATTCTCATATTTTGATTAGTCTAAAACTTCTCAAATATTCAAGTATCTCATGCTTTCTCATATAACTCAAATAGGCATTCTTATGTTATCATATACTTATCATGCATTCACTTGCAAGACATATAACTCACAAACAAGCTCATACTATCCATCATGCAATCTAGTGCAAGGCGTATAACTCATTAGCAACTCATACTATCATTTACTACTCATGCAATCTTGTGCAAGACATATCTCATCAATAATCTCATACTACTCATGTAATCTAGTGTAAGATATATAAGCAATCTCATTTTACTACTCATGCAATCTCGTGCAAGATACATATAAGCAATCTCATGCTATTACTCATGCCATCTAGTGCAAGACATATATGTAAGCAATCTCATGCTATTACTTATGCAATCTAGTGCAAGGTATATATAAGTAATCTCGTGATACTACTCATGCAATCTAATGCAAGATATATATATATATATATATATATATATATATATATATATATATATATATATATATATATATATATATATATAAGCAATCTCATGCTATTACTCATGCAATCTAGTGCAAGACATATATATATACATATACACACTCTTTCAAAAAGAATACTTTTCTATGGAGGTTTCTTGTTGTCATAAATGACTTGCTTTGCTTTCTTTTCTTTGAGTCTCAATGAATCGGATCGCCTTCTTTCTCTTGAGTCTCTTGACTCACTTTCTTTGAGTCTCAATGACTCGCTTTCGTTCTCTTGAGTCTCTTGAATCGCTTTCTCTTTACTCGTGGGCGAGGCCGGGTGTAACAACCCAAAATTTCATTTTATAAATCCAGTGTTAAGAAATCCCAAAGTAGCTTTTTCACCCCATTAAAAAAAATTTTTGCGAGCAATCGGTGTTTGAATAAAATAATTTTGTTCCATTTTAAATTTAATTCAACACCAAAGAAATGAATTTCATTCGAAAATTTCAAAGTTTTCGGGTACTTTGCGTACCAAGATTTAAATCGAGAAGTTTACCCGAGTGAGACCGGAGAATTAAAAAGGGGATTTTGAACAAGTGTTCATCTATTTAGCTTTTGGGAAAATTCACTTTGCACCCCAAAGTAATAAAGAAATATCATTTTTAGTCTATGGTTCATGATGCATGGTGGACCACAAGACATCCAAAAATCCCTTTTAAAGTCATCTTTTAGCTTGGGGAAATTACCCCTTTGCCCTCAACCAATCATTGTGTATCATCCTAGGGTTTTGAATCCTATATAAACCCTTCATTCCATTACATTTTCCTGATCTCATTTTCATTGCCTCTTCCTCATATTTGTCTGCCAACATCCAAGGAGAAAAGCTTCAACCTAGTAAGCTTGTTCATCCTCCTTTCTAGCATCATTTCTCTTCTAGTTTTCTTTAGTCTTTAAGAATATAGGCTAAGGATAGAAGGTGTGTTGGGAAGTGTAGGTGGTGAAGGAGACTCAAGCTAGACCAAGAGGAAGAAGAGATCCAAGCAAGAAATCTAGTCTACAAGAGGTATAACCCCATGGATTCCTCTTTAGATTTGGCTCTGTGAAGCCTAGTTTTGAGTAGAAATGAGTTGAAATTATGAGCTTTTGATGTGTTTATGCTTAGAAATGCTTTGGGATGTGTTTATGAGTTGTTGAGATTGTTTTGGACAAGTTTTTGCAGGTGAAGGGCTATCTAGTGCACAACATAGTGTGCACCAGACCAGAGTGGCGGCCCTGGCCGCGGCCCATCAGAAGGGCTGTCGGCTAGAGCCGTGCCACCACAGGACTAGGGCACGACCCTAGAAGAGGGCCGTCGCCTAGTCCCGGCGTAGTGACGGGTCTATAGGGGCGAACCATGAAGAGTCTCACCCCAAGTCCCTGAGTATTGTTCTGATGAGATGTTGTGCAGTGGCCGGGTTCTTGTGACTCAACTACGTGTCGTTTCGGACCGAGTGTTACGGGCCCTTGTGTCTCAGCTCTTCGGGATCGTCTTGACGCACGCTTTGGCTTTGATTTGGTTGAATTTGGATTAGAAACAAGTATGTTAAGAAGGATTTTATGAAGAAATGTTACACAGTGCATATTTTGCCTAATTCTCTGTGTTTGAGAAATTGTTGATTTTGTGATCAAATAATGTTCTTATTGAGTAAAGAAGCATGATCCTTTGAGAATAGGATTTATTATGAAAGCATGATTAAAATGTATTATTTGATCCATGAGAATAGAAGCATACTTGTTGAGTGAAATGTATAAAAATTGCTATTTTTGCAAATCGAGCATGATAATATATCCTTGAATAATTCATGTTAATGTATACATGATTTAGAAGCATGATATAGAGCGTTTGACATTTCACATGAGTCATATTTCGAAAATGCATAAGGGACCAACGTGAGTCCAAGAATACTTTCAAAAACCATGAGCATGTGGTATATCATTCTTTGATGCATTGAGAAGTACTATAATTGTTGCATGCATGATATTAATGCATAAGAGATATATTTACGTAATATTTATATTGGTGAGGTTTTGGAGGATACCGTTTGGACTATGTTCCTCTTGGGAAATGATTATGGACATTGCGGTCCCAGAGTTTGTAACGCGGCATATTCCCACGTTACGAGGTTGGAAAATTCCCGCCGGGCTTGGAATCCTGGTTAGGGGGTGTGCACACTAATAGTTTGATACTTGATTCCAAAGAGTTTGAACCACAAGATTGGTTCCGTAGACGGTGGGAGATATTGGGTTGGAATTATGTCGTTCCCAATGGGTATGTAACACCCCGTGTTACGGCCTCTAACGCAAACTAATTATTTAATTACTTACCCTTAAAAGAGAATTAAATTCCCTTAATTAATTAGGAAGGGTCCACCATTGACCATGGACCCTTATCCCTAAACCAAACCCTTAGTCCCACAAGGAGTAGAATTAGTAATTAATTAGGAAGGGTCCACCATAGACCATGGACCCTTATCCCTAAACCAAACCCGAAGTAGGACTCTTAGATATATAAAAGGACATAGGAGGCACCTAGAATTCACACCACAATAGATTTCACCACACAAGAATTCCCAAGAATTCCCTTATCACGAAACGTAGGAGAAATCAAGAAGAGGAGATCTTAGAGAAAGAACCTTAATAGCCAAGGATTCTTATTAAGGCTAAGAGGTAACCAATGTCTCAACAAAACATATTTTCCTTGCTATAATCTTCTTCTTTGGCTCATTTGATATGCAATTCTATGCTTGCGTCTTGATAAAGCTTTTATGATGATTATGATATGATCTTGATGTTATGAGATGATCTTATGTGTTGATCTTGATGATTATGAGAGGATCTTGATGATTATGAGAGGATCTTGATAATTGTGTGTTGATCTTGGTAAATCTTGATGTTCTTGATTTTTAAATATAAAGTTATGATCTTGTGATTTAAATATGATTAGAGCCCTAGGTTAAATCATGGATTTCGTATTGGGATATTCTTGGTATATTTGGGTGGCATTTTGCATGTTCGGGTGTTAATTATGTTTAGAAGTCATGATAGGATGTATTTAATGTGATTCTTGGTTTTGATCCAGTACTTGACTACGTGGTGTCGTCGTTTGTGTTTAAAAGTGTCTAGACATGGTTTCGGGTTCCACGAAAGATCCCAGGACCAAAGTATTACAAAAGTGTCAGTGGGGGGTAGGTGGGGCTAGGGGAAACCGCCACCTACCCGCTGCCCCATTTGGTGCCGCCGGCAGCGGGCATGTAACACCCCCGATTTTCAACAACTTTTAAAACTTAATTAAAGCTTAGAAAAGGGATAAAGTCTACTCATTAAGATTAAACAAGGCGGAAGCTAACTAAACAAACCAGAAGGTGCTATGCCACACCTATAACAAACATAGGTGCACAGGCAGCTACTACAACTACAGCAGTCTAACAAATCAATTACTTAGGCTCACAGGCCTCAACAACTATTAAAGGAAGAGATAATCTATCTACAAGCCACTAGCGCGCTCTCCAAAGCTACCTAACCTGTAAAGCAACAAATAGAAATGGGACGACGCCCGGTCAGCGAATAATGCTGGTAAACCGCCAATACATGTGAAATATCATACATAGATAAGATATAGGTTTATAAAGCCATTTGCGAAACGGAATACATATATATAAGTCAAAAACCAAGAGTAATAGTCAACACAAGACTCAACACTCTCAACAAGAACACGGGAACACATCCCAAGACCACAAAGAACAACACGACTCACAAGAAGTCTCGTGGTATGATCTATAATCACACAATAGATCCAAAACCCGACATGCATAACGCAAAGGAATAAAACTACCCACGGAAACACATGCCAAGGCAACACTTGCCCATGTGACTACACACGTCATAAGAAGAGAATTCACAACAACGGCTACACAAGCCCTCGTGACATCACCCATCACGAGTTAATATGCCTTCCTTATGCCCGGTTCCAACCTTATGGCTACCCCCAACCTTATATCTTCTTCCAACCATTACCTCCAGGACCCCTGTACTTCTTAGTCCAACCTTTTCCCTCCTGGGACCGTCGTCCCCACCAACAAAACCACCAATTTCATAGTACACGAGGGTACCGTACACAGACACGGCAACACATGCCACCCAAGAATCACGTGAACCTTACACAAAGGTCACAACTCCATAATCACGTCACGGCCACCACGAGCACCGCTGCAATACCTTGGTGACTAGTGTCCCATACCACTAATTTTGCAATCCAGGTAAAGCCACACACACATCACACCTTAACAGGAATCAATCAACGGATCACAATAAAGATATGAAACCATACTCAATCGAGGAATGGATCACAGTCCAACAACAACATTGATGAATAACACAAGTTATCATCAACCAATAGGAAGGTACAAACAACACACACGCTAGCATTTAAACACCGAACTAGCATGCTTATCAAACGGGTAAACCAAACGTAGTTCCGAAGAACACACAAGACTCATCACGGTTCAACGAAACACAATGTTGAACACTTAGCACGATTTAAGATACCAAAACCTACATGGAGTCCTACCATATAGTTCTAGACATACGAAACATCAAGAAGACACTCAAATAGTTCCACAAAAGAACATCGGGAAGTCAAAAGACCAAATACCGAGTCAAAAGAATCACGGGGAACAAATCCCCCAACAAAACCAACATGTTCCCCGCGGGTGGACCCACGCGTAGGCCCCTACCCGTGGTCCTGCCCGCGGGTACCAACACCCACAAGCCACGTTCCCGCGGGTGGGGCGGCGGGTAGGGCTCTGCCCGCCGTTCTGCCCGCGGGTACATCCCTGTGCCCAAAATAATCCTTTCGGAGATTTTCAACTCCAAGCTCAAATTCAAGTCCAAAACATGCCAAATCTCACCAAATACAACAAAATGACTTGAATAAAAGGAAATGCCAAGCAATGGCACAAATGAACCCTAAACACAAGCTCTAGATATGCATTTTCACAAGACAATGCATAAACACTCACATTTCATAGCAAAACACATGTAGAATCCAAGAAATTACATATAGGTAAGCAAAATAGATTTTGTAGAGCATGAGTTACCTCAATCTCTTATCCAACCAAAAACAACGCCAACAAAGGCTAGGCTCAACTCATAAGCCAAACGGGAACCTGTGAATCAAACCTATCCTCAACTATCAACAAACGTACTAATTAAAACTAATTATGCTCATAAAGAGATTTGAACCCTAATTCCCTCTTTAAATTACCCACAAGCTCAACCATCTAATCTAGGTATCCTATTATTAATTAATAACAAAATTAATACACTAATACTTAAACTAATAACTAAGCTCATAATATATGGCTAATACCTACTTAAGAACTTTAAGCCACAACAAACCTAATTAACACTAAGCAACTACTAGAGCTAAGGAACCACAACAACGAAAGACCAGAAGCTCACCCTTTTCCTTCCTCTTCAACTATGCATACTGCCAAGGAGCAACAGAGCCAACGCCACCCACCAGGCCAGCACCACCTGTTACCACCATCACGCCGCCGATCTTCTTTCGCCGGAAAACACCCTCGCCGCTGCTTCAAGGTTGAGGTTCCAGCGGGTGGAGCATAGAAGGTCCACCACCCGCTCATGTGCCCGCTGCCTACTTCTTCGAAGAAGACCGAAAACACCGCCGGAGAGACTGCCCAGGCTTTGCCGGTCCACAAGCTGCTTCACCGGAGGTGAGGAGAGCGCTCGATGCTCTGTTTCGCTGGACTAACCGTCACACCGGAGAAGGAGAGCTCGACTTCCGCCACCGCACTGTCCTGCTCTGCCTCACGTTGCTGTTTGATAACCAAGGGAGATGGAGAGGGAAATGGAGCTGCTGCTCTTCTTTTGAGCTTGAGGAAGAGACAAGCCGGAAGATGGAAAAGGAGATACAGAGAGGGAGGTTCGATAGGTCTAAAAGGAGGGTGAAGGAGATGGTTGCTGGTTTGGAGGCTCATAGCGTTACTGCCATTGTAGCAAAGCCGAGAGGAGTATGCGGCTGACTTCAAGGAAGCAAGATGATACCATACATACATACACACATTAAATGGTAGGGTTACTATACTTAGAAGGTTGGCTAGGCTAGACTTGGTTCAAAAGTTTGGGTTGGGTTTTCTAAATGTGGACTTTAGGCCAAACATCTTGGGCTCACAACATAAATATAACATATATATTTATACAAACATATGGGATTGACTAGCTTGGGTTCATATAATAAATAAATACATTTTTGGTCTTAAGGCATTTGGGCACAAAAATGCCGGTTCACAATAATAGGTAGACCCGAGCCCAATTTTAAATTAATTAGCTATATAAATATTTTTACTAAAAATATTTAATATCGGGACTATAATTTATTTTATAAAAATACGGGGTGTCACAGGGCAGCCAACGGGCAGGCGATTGCCCGCCGGGCACCCGCTGCCCAGAAGAGCGCCGCCGGCGAGTAGCCGGCGGGTGGAGGACCACCCGCCGGCCACCTGCTGGTTTTCCCAGTGTGGAATGGTGGTTTTCCCCATTTGATGTTTCCCCGTTCCCCGTGGTGTCCCAATGGACCCCGTTTGTCGTGCCTGAGTCTAGTTTGATGTTTCGGGTACCCTTCGTAAGATAAAATAGTCTTGTGTATTGCATGCTAGTTGAATTGGTATCCCGTTGGCCTAGGTTAAAGATGTATGAACTCCTTAGGAATATTCCTAGTATGTGGATGACCACACATAAGTTTTATTTATACGTTTTCCCCCTTCCCAATATGCTAATGTGGGTTGCAAGTGCTTGCTATGTGTTATGTGTGCATGATATCCCAATTTGGTTGCGATCAAATTGGCTATACGGGCAGTTGGATGGGTTGAGAACCATCGGCTGTTAACCAGGCCGGTTGCGATCGGTCAGGTATATAAATATTATATAGAGTTGCGTTCCACCGTTTGCTTGCGATCAAACGTTATAAATGAGCTGCGGTTCATAATCTGATTGCGATCAGAAATACACTTTTTGGGCTGCGGTCCACCGTTTGGTTGCGATCAAATGTTATAATGAGTTGCGGTTCATCGGTTGGTTGCGATCAACCCCTTCGTGCTGCGGTACGAGGCAGGGTGCTTCGGGGCCGTGTTAGCGCTATATGCGCTGACCCTCATATATGGGCATGCGAATGGTCCTGCGGCACCACCAAAGTGTGCTTATGTGTTGAGATAATGATTGAATAATGATACGAATGATGCGAATTAATCTTGTGACCTTAGGGTGTATGCTAGTATCTTTATATTCATGATTATAACTGATAAATGTGACTGTCCTTACCTGTTGAGTCTATTCTCGGTTTTAAAGCTAGAGTCTCCTAAGTATATATCTTCCGGCTTCAAAATGGTTTTCCTATATCTGTATATATATATATATATATATATATATATATATATATATATATATATATATATATATATATATATATATATATATATATATATATATATATATATATATATATATATATACCTATTTTAACGCGTTGGAGTGGGTTACCAACATTATTCGCTGAATAGATATATTTGGCTTTCAGGCATAGATGAGTAGCTCCGAAGTGCGCTAGGGGACCGAGGCTTAGTTAGCTAGTTTCCCTTTCGGCCTGCGTGCCATGATGATGTAATGACAGTTTTTTGAGGATGATTAGATAGTTTAGCCTGTGCATCTGAGTTCTCCAGCTCAGATGTGGCATAGCACCCCAAATACTTATGTTTAGTATGCTCTGTTTTGGGATTTAATGATAGTACTATCTTTATTTCATAAGAATTCAAAGTTTCAAATTTTAGGGGTGTTACAGTTGGTATCAGAGCCTAAGTTTGACCCTAGAATAAGACGCTTAAGACAAGACTTTAGGACATTAAGCTTAAACTCTAGGTATTTGGGAACATAGGATTCAGGAATCTTAGGACGCGCGGTGAGATTGTGAGCCTACCTATCATTACATAACTTTCCCCTCACTCTACTCTATACTTAATTTAAAAGAACTCCCCCTTACGCTTATCGTATCAAGGTAAGGGTGCAACACACTAACTCGTCATTACAATAAACATTGGCCCTGTAGACCATCGGCATGGCACCAAACAGAAGGTAGTCGAGGACCCCCGAACCCACCACTCACGATCCTCTGGCTCAGAATCTACAGCAACTGACTCAGATCGCCCAGGCACTGAGCAACGTATTCCTCCGTAACAACAACCGACCACCACCACCGCCAAACGGAAACTCGGATGTCACTCGACAAGTCTCAAATCATCAGCCACCCATCTTCTCATGGGAGGAGGACCCGACAATCCTCGAAGAATGGATTTGAACCTTCGACAAAATCCTCGGGTTAGTGGAATGCCCAGAGGAGCGCCACGTAGAAATAGCCTCGTTCTACTTCGGACACGAGGCCGACCTGTGGTGGATCCACGAGGGACCCGGTTACAGACTGTTGGTCCCGATAGGGTGGTAGAAAGTCTAGAGGGGGGGGGGGGGTGAATAGACTTTCTAAACTTTTTCACAATTAATAACACTTTGATAATTTCAACTCCAAGTTACAAATAAATAACAAGATATTCAACTTGGGTGCACAGCGGAATAATTTAACAGTAAAGTGTTACGTAAAATTAGAGAGATATATCACATGCACTACGTTAGGTATGCTTGAATTAGCTCAAATAATATGTATGCAAATTTTGACTCGCATGCGGACGTGAAAAGTATTAAACCCAGATGAATTTATCTGTGTACGAAATGGGTTAGTCAAAATTTAATATGCAATGTCAATAAATGATTTATGTGGGTATGCATGCATGTACACGTATAAAGATATGCTAGCTAGATAATATATATATATATATATATATATATATATATATATATATATATATATATATATATATATATATATGTGTATATATATATATGTGTATATATATATATATATATATATATATATATATATATATATATATATATATATATATATATATATATATATATATATTAATAGTCAACTTGCATTAACTTGTGGGAAATAATTAATAAATGCAGATAGAAGAAATTATATTAGATATGAACTATATTGCATGCATACGTAGGTGAACCCAGATGATGAATAGCAAATATAAGAATGGGTTAGTTCACAGTGATAAATAAATGAGAGCAGTAAGTAAATGAGAGAGGCAATTTAGAGTGGTTCGGAGGTGGCGTAATCCCCCTACTCCACTTTTCTCCTTTCACGTCTAGGAGAAAATTCACTATTTTCTACACACAGTTACAATAGTGAATAAGTGCTACTCAGGCACTTCTTTGAGTGTTTTGCACACAGCTACACCCAACTCCGAGTGTCTCGCACACAGCTACACTCCTCCACGAGTACTTCGCACACAGCTATACTCCTACGCCAACTAAGTGTCTTGCACACAGCTACACTTAGCAACCATGAGTGTTTTGCACACAGCTACACTCACGAGTGTCTCGCACACAGCTACACTCAACAGGTTAGTGTTTTGCACACAGCTACACTCAAAGCTCTTTCTACACACAGTAGAGAAAAGATATAGAGAAAACAAATTTCTCTTCTAAAGACTTGAAGATTTCTACGCAGATAGCTCAAGAATGATGAACTGAATATTTCAAATATTGTTCTCTGTATTGTGTATTGCCTCTGCTTCAAGTCTTCCATCCTTGCCCGTATTTATAGCCAACAAAGACCATATAGCCGTTGTAGCTTCTTCAATCCTAGCCGTCCATTTGATTTGCGATGTTCCAATTTGCAACTTGCTTTGAAGTAATTAAATGCAGCAGCTTTCGGTGGAGAATAGCTTTGTCAGATTTATTTGAAAAACTTCATCTGTGTAATCTTCAAAAATCATATATTGCGGCTGATCTTCTGCAATAAATCTTCTTTGGTTTGGATAAAATATTTTATGATAAAAGTAAATCTTCATGTTGAGATCTTCAAATCTGACCGTGCTAAAATCTTCTTCTCTGCTTCTCCTTTTACCAACTGTCAACATACCAAAATAAATGCTATAAGCAGGATTCAAACCATGTCCATCCACAATGCTCCTCACGTTTCTTGACAATACTCCATAACAACTTATTTGTCATAAGTGTGTTGATAATATATTTGTACGCCTTCTGCCTGAGTTAAGTATGTAACGTTTCTGTTCTCCTTAGATTTGCTTGTCAAACCTCCAATCCTGAGCAAAATAGATGTCACAGGGATTCGAACACGCATTCCCTCCGAAACACAACAATGTCTTCTCCATTAACCCACTACAACGCCTTGGTACAAATATTGCAAATAAATCCTAAGTACCAACATTCTGAGAGGTTCTATTTACCTTTAAATTTCGTAGGATATTTGGTTCAGGTCTATTTTGAAGTTTGTACACTAGACTCAAAATAAAATATGGGGAATTCTAAAAATACAATTTTGGCTCGTCAAAACTATATTACAATTATTCCTAACACAGACAAGAACCGGGATTCAACTGGGAAAGCCTAAAGACACAGCTGCGAGAACGGTTCTATCCCGCACACGTAAGGGCAACCATTTACGAGGAATTCCTCCACTTAAAACAAGGAATGGCCACCATCATGGAATACCACAAACGATTCCTCGAGCTGGCTCGTTTTGCGCCCGAATTAGTCCCCACCGAGACAACCAAGATAGAGAAGTTTGTGTCAGGCCTCAATTTCGAAGCCCGAAAGGCCCTAATCGTAAGCAGACCCCAAACCGTCAACGAAGCCTACACCAGCGCCGCTAATCTCTATCGAATCCAACTACTAAACGAGGGGTTCAGGAACAGATCCGTAAAAGAAACACAGGAGGAGGAGGGGCGTCGCTTGTAAAAAGGACTAGAAACGACCCTAACACGAGACCGGTCAACCCAGCCAGTCAAGGGCCGCCCACGAGAAACAACGAAGCAAACACCAGATCCTTCCTTTGTCGAATATGCAACAAGGACCATAGAGGCAAGGACTGCTTGGGAAACCCTTG